GGAAGATTGCTCCCATCTTCTACGCGTACGTTGCTTAATGATAACGTAGCAATTTATTGGTGAAATTCTTAACAAGTCATATAAGGAATTAATATTTCGGGCTTTTAGTAAATTGTACAGTAGATCTAAAGAGTTTAATAACATTCTTTCGTGAAATAAGCGGTTAAATAATTGAAAATGCTCTCCAAATTCATATTATAATTGTTTATACATACCTCTTGTGGTGTACACTTATTGCTCCAAGAGTGTACCAATTTCTGGTACATGCTGAACGGTCCGCAGTGGTGCGTCTTCCTGAGGCGACCAAATTGCGAGAGCTCCGCGTACGTCATGCCCATGTCCTGTTCATCGGTCTGCGTTATCTGGCCGTCAGCTAACGGCTCCAGCTCCGCTGTCGGCGGGGCTTGTAGGATCTCCGATAGAGATGGCAAGAAGAACCTGAAAATTATACGTATTATCTAATTTAATACAAATTATAATAAAACTAGCTGTTTCCGTGTGGCTTCATCCAACTGAAATTATAAAAACTTTAATGTATGCATTTATAAGACTTTCAATTTTCTAAATTCAAATGCATAAATGACAACGAAGAATTTTGCCATTAGATATTGCCAGCTTGTAGTTTTGTCCCTTTCCCGCATGACTGTTTTTCGAAATTACGTACTCCCTATGTTTAATAGCGTGAAAATATATAACCTAAAACGTGTTGTTAGTGTATGGCTTATTTAAAAAAAAAAAGAAAAATTCAAAAATATACTGCAATCGCTGACATCGAGCATAACAAAGAAGCGTGCGTTACGCATAAATAAATTTTCTTTTTATTATTTTTTTTATATTAATATTCAGTTATTTGTTTAATTTTATATTCAGAAAATATCATTAAAAATCTGTATAAAACATCAAAGAATTACTTAAAGGGGTGAAAATATTGATACTTTTTGAACGATTTTTGTTACTGGCAACTAATAATTTTGAGTACTGGCTGAATGTGTAGCGTGAATAATAGATGTCAAGCGGCGATCGAATGACTAATGACAGTTGTCATTGATTGGTGGAAAAATGCGCTTTGTTATTATAAAATCAATTAATTAATCTCTGTAAATGTTTGAAATCCCTTTAATTAATATATACGATCTGCTTTCGGAATTGAATTCTACAAATCCCTCGGTATCCATGTATGTAAACTCACCGATTCTTAGCGTACTGTAGGAAAGATTTGAGGTCAGTCTTGGATATGCCGCCTATGGGGTTGACGTCTGCGCTGGAGCAGTCGTACTTGGTCATGTAGCCGCGCAGCGCCTCGTCCACGTTGGAGGAGCCCAGCACCAGCAGGCCGCCCGGCCGCCCGCGCGCCCACAGCACCAGCTGCGCGAACAGGTACGACAACACCATGCGCAGGCGAGCCTGGAACACGACAGATCATACTAACATTATAAATGCGAACATTTAGAT